AACACCCTTGGACTGAGAGACAGACCGAAGGGGAGTACTCTGTATTCATAACAGATCCCCTGAAATGCGAATCTCAGATATTTCCCTGTGTGGGTAATATACTGGGATGTGAAAATACGCATCTTTCAGGTCGACTGATGTAAACCAGTCGTCTTATCGCACGAGCCGCAGCAGAGATGTGTGAGTGAGCATTCTGAACTTATATCTTTTTAGATATTTGTTCAGAACCCTCAAATCAAGTATTGGCCGAATTCCGTTCCCTCCCCATTTGGGAACGAGGAAGTACTTGGAATAGAAGCCGCCCTGACTCTGCTCGGCGGGTACAATAGATATAGCCCTCTTTTCTAGGAGTGAGAGAATCTCTCTCTCCAGAATATGGGCTGACTCTCCTCGGGCCTGCGAATGCAGAATGCCCGAAAAGCGAGGGGGGGTGACGGTGACTTGGAGTCTGTAGCTCCGTGTAACTGTCTTGAGAAACCCAAGCAGATGTCGTGAGCATTTCCCACTGTATTCTCCTTAGAGCCAGCTGAGATGTCACGTCTCTTCCCCTCTGAGTCTCTATTTGTTGTGTTATGGGGCCCTCCAGTGTCTGAGCACTGTGGTGCCCCATTTCGACGTGCCCCATTTCGACAATCCCCACCGACACAGCGCATGCGTGTGGCGGTGGTGCCCTTACGGCTCCAGCCGGCACTGCGCATGCGCGTGGCGGTGGTGCCTTCACGACCCCAGCCGGCACTGCGCGTGACGGTGGTGCCTTTACAGCCCCAGACCCGTCAATTGTCCGCCCATAGCTGCTCTCAGAAGGGGAACAGTTGACGGACTGTTTTATTGTTTTTATTGTTTTTCTTTTCATTTTTTCGAGCTGCGCCCTTGGCTCGAAGCCTGGATGCGTCAGCGGAAAATGTTTTATGACATAAAAATCAATAAGTGTGTGACATGTGTTTATGCAGACTTGAGGATGGTGTTGAGGCATCTCTTGAGGCGGCGGGAACACATTTAGAGCTGGGGAACCGTAGACTTCCAGCTCTGTCACAGAGGGGAGAAGGAGGGGCTGTCACGCCGCTCGCTTCTTCTTCCTCGACTGCTGGCCGAAATTCTGGGTTGGCTGCGCCTGGGCTGCAGCCGGAACCGGAGATTTTCTAGGCCAGCTCGCCCTCGTCCCCTGCCTGGGCTGGGGACTCGGGGCGGACTGCGACCTCTGCGTTTTCGGTATTTTGAACCGAGCAGGGCTCGGGGCAGCTTGGACGAAGGGCTGCCGCTGCGAAGGCAGCGGCTGGGCCCTTCGAGGGAGGCAGAGGTGGAGGGCCTCGTCCTCCTTCTTTTTCGACTCGCATCTCCTCTGCATGGAGGCAAGAGCGGAGCCGAAAATCCCCTCGGGAACGATGGGCATGTCAAGCACATCCTCCTTTTCCCGGTCTGGGAGGTTGGTGAGGTTGAGCCATCTAGCTCTTTCCTGCACCACCATGATCCCCATTGTTTTGCCCGTGGCCTGGACGGCGCAGCGTTGGACATGGAGACAAATGTCTGTGACCGCGGCCAACTCGTCCAGAACGGCCGGTCCAGGATTACTCGACATATCCTCACAGAGCTCCGCTTGGTATGCGGTTAGCAGTGAGGAAACGTTCAGAGCCCTGGCAGACAACGCTGCGGCTCTGTAGGACCGTTCAGTCATGGTCGACTGGAAACGGTCCACCTTCGCTGGCAGCGTGGGGTTCCTGCTTGGTGACGGGCCCATCCTCGGTAGGAGGTGGGCTGCCACCAGCAGTTCCATCAGCGGTATGCGGAGCAGGCCGAGCCTCTCCATACCGTCGCAGTCTAGGGAGGAGGCACCCTGGATTGGGGCCTTGTTGCTAAAGGGTCGGTCCCTCCACGAGACCGACACCTCATCCAACATCTCCGGAAAGACCGGGAGGAGTTGTCTCCTTGTCCTCGTTGCTTGGGGAGAATGTTTCCCCTCGTAACGGGACCTGGCGGTCTCCTTGGCCATTTTGGGCCACGGGATGTCTAGCCTGGACGCAGTGCGCTGACACGCGGCCTGCAGGTCCAGGGCGAAGCTGGTGTGAAGCGGGTCGCCCGGGAGAGCAGCCATAGCTCCCGGCTTTGCCGTTTGAGCCGATGACATGAAGATATCTTCTTCTTGCTCATCCGAATCAGACAGGAGGAACTCAGAGGTGTCCTCTTCGTCCTCCATGTAGTCTAATTCCAGGACATCCTCCGCGGGCGAGACCATGGTGAGGTCTCGCCGGGAGCTCCCGCCTGGTGAGGCGTGGGGCTCCGTTCCCGCGTCTCTTGCCGCCACCGGGTCCCGGCCTGACACGGCGTGGGATCCCGGTTCCGCAGCTGCCGCTGTTAGTGAGCCCCAGACCGACACAGTGAGGGGCTCAGTCTCTGCGGTGGACGCCCCCGTGTCTTGATTGCCAAACGGCGAATCAGTGGACATGAGGGAGTCCTGTTCCAACAAGCTAGCTTGGTGTGCTAGCCGTCGGTGGAGGCTCTTTCGGGTGAAACGGGCACAATGCCCGCACGAGCCGGGGTTGTCGATAGCCTCCTGGGCGTGTTCCAGCCCGAGGCAGGACGAGCAGACCTGGTGTGAGTCTGTGCCTGCTATCTTCAACCCGCAGCCGCATGACCGAGCCTCCGAGTCCCTGACTCCTCTGGTGTGAGGGGGAGAGGCGTCCATCTTGTTCGCCTCGTGGCGTGGAGAGGACCCGCTCGTAACAGGTACGTCGTTGAGAGAAAAAGTGTTACCAACCCGTCCTTAATCCGGAGAAAAAGGGACGGTGTGGGTCCTTTGTTCTCAAAGAATATTGACTGGTGTGTCAATATACTTCTAATCCTTTTCTCCTCCGTGAGAGAGAAAAAGAAAAGCGTCCTCGCTACCGTGGTGTCGGTAGTAAGGGGAAGCTAGCTAGCAACAGGTGCGTAGCTAGCTTGAGAAAAATCAAAACCTTACCTTACTTTCCGGGGAAAGAAACGGTGAGGTCGATTTTAATACTAACTGGCGTTAGTATTACCGTCTTCTTGCGAAGCAGAAGGAGTAGCCGGCGAGCGCCCGTCGACCGAAATGGTTATATTTGGGTTCAGTCTGTGGACCGTTAAGCTTGTCCGGCTACTATAGAGATGTGCTCTGAAGCGAGAAGAGGTGTTTGAATGACGCATGCGTCGTGGCGCAAGCTACTTATAGGGGGTGAATTCCCTGACGCTGACGTCAAGATCACTAGCCAATCAGGATTGGCGTAATGAGATTGATGCTTCTGTTTGCTCCGCGATGAGGCGCATCCCATAGTGAGACATCGAACGGAGTGTTATGAATGAGAACTGAACATTTCAGAGTGGCCTTTTATTGTGGCCAGCCTAAGGCACACATGTGCAATAATCATGCTGTCTAATCAGCATCTTGATATGCCACACCTGTGAGGTGGGATGGATTATCTCGGCAAAGGAGAAGTGCTCACTATCACAGATTTTTTCAGATTTGTGAACAATATTTGAGAGAAATGGTTATTTTGTGTATATAGAAAATGTTTTAGATCTTTGAGTTCATCTCATGAAAAATGGGAGCAAAAACAAAAGTGTTGCGTTTATATTTTTTGTTCAGTGTACATAATCCCATATCAAAAGTAACATCATTCTTCATGTACATTTTATTTTTTATTAGAGTGTACAGATTAAAAATCAAGGACAGATCCATGCATAACATGGAGATTATTTGAAGCTGAAAATCTTGTTTACAACAATCTATCTGAATCTACATGAAACAGTTACTTCACTGCAGTAATGATCCTGTAAGTAGATGTATTAAAGCACTTTGTCATTTTATACATGACCAAGTTACCATGCATTAACAAAAAATAAATCACTCGTCGAGCAGTTAACACAGCTTTAAATCATCTTTCAATCTGATGTGTTGAGTTCCTCATATCTAGTGGTTAGCTTTAAGGTGGTAGGATTGAAAACAAATTAATATGAAAGAAAGATAATAACTGAACTTTGTTTCATGCTAAACTAGGAAGCTATAGGTCAAAGAGAAACAGTGAGAGGTGGAAGGTGTGGCGAAAATAGATCTATTGTAAAGCAAACTGTTCTGATTAAGTAGACTATTAAGATACTAAGTCCTTTTGAAGGACACATGTGCAAGACAGGTTGAAGAGCTTTTATCTTTTCACAATTAATAACTATCAGTTTGATTTTTCAAAAGAATTGTATGAGCAATAAACGTTACCTGACAGACTAAATGGCATCATGTGCTAGTTTTTCCCAATTAAACCTGTAAGAGCTTTCAAAATATGCTCAATATGCAGTTTGTATGTGGCCTATGTGAATCTGCTCCACTTACTGCACAGTGCACACCACAAGGAGGAGGAGGAGGAGGAGAAGAAGACTACAGCATTCAACTATTGGCTGAAAATGAACACGTGACCGCTGGACAGGAAGTGTTGCAGCCTGAGCGTGATATTTGTTTACAACGGTGAGTTGCTCCTTGCAAGGGCTGTATTTTGTGACAGATGATCCTCACAAAATATTAAGAACAGAAACCGTAGAACGGATATTGCTGTTACCAAGTGCATGTCATGTTTATGCCGTATTCATGGTAAATGCACCCGATAAGAAGACTTACTAGCATGCTAACTCAGGTAACGTTACCCTTCACGTTACAGCGTCATGTGTCACTCATCATGCGTAATCATTAAACCTCTTTGTAACAAAGTGCAAAGCTAATCCCCATGCTTGTGTGCAGGTACGAGTGTTGGCTCATTTTGTGGTGAGTTAACATTTGCTAGTTAGCCAGCTGGTGAAGAAGCTAACATGGGAGTTAAAGAAGACACTGTGACCTCTCACAATATGCCTCTCAAAAGATAAGGTATGAATCAACCCATTGTAAAAAGACAGTGTTTCTTTATTATGCATGTTCGCCCTTTTTTTTATAACACACGGCTGTATCAGCTGTATAATATGGCGGTGTCTCTCTGCACTCACTCCCTCAGAGATGATGATACTGAATGACCTACGACCCGGTGCATCATGGCATTGTCTGAAGTGTATTGGGATCGCCAGATACCCCTCCCAAAGCTCGCACCGGTCCAAGCCAAGGTCACTGTCGCCCTGGTGGCACTGCTGTGCTTCATGAACAGTTATGACGGGGAGTTTGTGTTTGATGATTCTGAAGCAATTATCAACAACAAGGTTGGTTGTTTTTTCCTGCAGTAATGCACGCATGTTCACATTTGAAAAAAGAACATTGATGTAATCTCTTGTATTGCAAAACGTATATTGTCTTTATTACATTGCCTTTGCAGCATTAACAGTGGCGTTCTGCATGTTTTAATGGCAAATGTTATGTTTTTGTTCCAGGACTTGAAACCAACAACACCCCTGCACAACATCTGGAGCAATGACTTCTGGGGAAGCAACCTGAGTAGCAACTCTAGTCACAAATCCTACCGACCTCTCACTGTCCTTACATTTAGGTAAGGACACATATCTACTGTATGAGCACAAACACTAATGATAGACCAAAGTTACCAAAAATATACTTGTTCCTGGTCAGCTGTCAACACGTAATGTGTGGTGCCTGTTATAGAAATGCTGTATTCCCCTAGCAATTTAGGAAAACAAGGACTCTGGCATAACAACCTATATTTTGAACTTCTTACAGCTCTCCAAATACACATGATTTGTATATGATTAATTTCAAGTGCTTCTAAACAAAGCAGTTGAATGGACATTTCATCTAACTGCACATTGATCGTGAAATTGTACATTCATTTGTTTTGAGGTTAAAAAAGCTCAGGCTGGCAGTGGGTATGTCTGCTTTTTTGGCCTTATTCCGTTGGTTTTCCATTTACAGCAGTCTGTGCAGCTGTAGTGGTGCTTGCTTATGACCTAGCTGCCCCTTAATATGCAAAAGCTTTTCATAATTTCCTTAAACACTTGCTTAGGCCCTTGGTGACAAAGTTGTTGGTTTTAGTCCTGAATGAGCAGCTAAGTGTGCTCTGTGGGAAAGATCAAGGACTGCGTGGCGTCGTCTTCCTCCTGACACATATTAGCTGCACATATTCGTCAAACTCTGGTGCAAGGGTAAGCATTCAGTTTGTCACAGGTAATGACGTTCTAGTCACTGTGGATTTTGGAGGGATCACAGAAGTAACTCATCTGTCTCTCTGCCTTTCACCCCAGGTTTAGCTGGGGCCCTATCAGTCCACTCTCTCTCTCTGTGTTTGTAGGGGAAATAATGGGCCTTGGTGCCACTGGTGCGGCCCGGTCAATTCTGCTAATGTCCTGCCTCAGGTTTTGTTGTGTGCAAGGTTCCTAGGAGAGTCTACATATGCTGAGTGTGCAGACCTGTCAGCTCCTTGTGCCCACAGATATGTTCACGTGGATAGATTTAGCCTTCATCCACGTTAGCACTGTGGTTGCATTTGACCACAGGAGAAAGACAATAGTGGGCTAATTTTAAAGCAGCTTGCTTTGCAACGTTTAGCTCCATTTAGGGAAGCATTCAACTCAGGGCTGCCTAGGGGTTTGAATGACCTTACTTTGACAAAGGTGACTATGATGCTGCCCTCCTCGTTCTCTGTAGGTGGGAGACGTGCTCAGAGGCATCACAGAACATGTGTATCAGTCAACACTGGTCTGAGTCCAGTGCTGCATGGAACTGTTGCCGGTTGTCACATGGATAAGTCTCTGATAAGGACTCTTTTCCCATTCTCTCTTACTGCTTAATGCAATCTTAGTGAGGTGCAGATGTCAATTAAGATAACTGTGCTATCCGCTGGCAGCACCAAGGTTACTGTCCTTTATAAAAGTTCCTACAAATACAACACACCTTTACTGATACTTATTTTTTCCCCACACTGCCCTATCACTGCTTTCACTTAGCTCTTACCACCCTCAAATATATCTGTACTTTCCTAAATCTGCCATTCACTTATGGTCAGGTATTTCCCTCTCTTGCTCTTGCAGGTTGAACTACCTCTTGGCGGGAGGCCTGCACCCTGTTGGCTTCCATGTGCTGAACATCATCCTCCATGCTGTCATATCTGCCCTCATGATTGACATGTTTGCTATACTGATTGGTGGACTGGCCCATGATGAGAATGGTAGGATACTGAACAACGCTCCCAAGACCTCTCTGCTTGCTGCCCTCTTGTTTGCCGCACACCCCGTCCACACAGAAAGTGTAAGTGGAGTTCAAGTTAAAAAAAATTATGTTTTGTTTATTTGTATTGAGTACATCCTCATCCTTCCTACATGCAGGACGGACTATATTGTTAGTACTCAAAGCAGTAGAATAATTCACTAATGTCAGTTTAAGATTTATATTTACAATTTTGTTATCTTTCTTTATATCCTTTAGAATAAATACAGCCATATTTGAAGTCGGGTGACACAAAAACCAAAGCTGTTTTTCAGTTTGAAATCAAATGCTTGTCCTCTCATAACTTTTTAGACAACCCAGAGAACTAAATAATGGTGTCATTAAAGAAAATGCTGCAAAGATTCACTAATGAACAAATACAGCAAAAAGAAAAACAACATACTTTTTTTGACACCGTTCATCAGACCGTATGTTTCACAGCAGTAATTGCTAATACTGTCAAAACAACGTTTTATAGAAAAAATAAGCAGCATGCTGGACGGGCTTGGAAGCTCTTTTGAACATTTTCTCTTTAAGTAACACAGTATGACAAAACCTGATTGTGCAACTGTTGCCCTTTATAGAAACATAATGTGTGTTTAACATCAATGTTTTTATGATTTATCCTCCAAGCAATTTATATTTTAATGTACAATTTATTTTCAAATTCATTTTAAAGATATTATATTATATTGCTTCAATAGATTTCCCCTGCATATGCTCATTTCTTTTAACACAGTATGTGGCAAATGGACCATATAACACCATAATTGGTCACAATGCATTTAAAAAATATTGAAATGTTTCATCAATCATGGTGAACCAACAACTAACACCTGTTTGAACTCATGACACATCAGTGCATAAAGTAGAAACAGTCATCAAATATTTACATCAGCTTATTCCCCTTCTATATCCTGATGCACCAGTTGCCAAATCATGCTAGCTCCAAATCTGGCTTTGAACGTGGGCTGGGTCACAAGTTCACAACATGCATGTACTGTACAGCTCCTTGAGACAATTCACTGTTTGTGCTTTTGGGCTACACACTTTTATTATCAACATGGATGCTCTACAGCAGCCCATCATGGCATATTGACATGCTAGTCGGGAGGTTTTAATACTAAACATGCAGTGGTTCCATGCCAAGAACAAAAGCCTGGTCTCAGCTGGCAGTGCAGGGCCAAGGTGCGAGTGGTAGCACGGCCTGATTATTAGTTGTGTTGGGATGCTTATTGACCAGCCAGCACATGTGTGTTTGCTGTAAAGCCTGGCTGGAAAGCAGCATTCCCCCTCTCCATTCTCTTTAATCGTGCAGGTCAAGGACTGGGTGAGACCTGAGGGGTGGGAGGCAGGCGGACTGTTGGCTTAGGCCCACTGTATATATCAAAGCAGGCAACCCTGGGATGCCTACCATACTGTACCCACACACTGTAAACAACGCACACACCTACAGGTGGTGATGCTGGTAATGAGAGATGTTTCCTATCTCTGTTAATAAGCTTCTATTCGTAACTGGATGCCCTGTGCAAAATAAGTGGTGTGATGTAAGGAATGTAATACATAATGTGGAAATTCATGAAGGGATGCAAATGATGATGTTTTCCAATGTATACTTGGTAGAGAAACTTCTGCCTTTCATATCACATATTTAATTATGTTGCTCTTTATATGTTTATTTTTCTCTGTATCACTAGGTGGCTGGTATAGTGGGTCGAGCAGATCTTTTGTGCGCTCTGTTCTTCCAGCTGTCTTTCCTCACCTACTGTAAAGCTTTCAACCGAGGTAGGTATTTAACAAGTTTGATTCTTCGTGTACACTTTAATAGGGCACTTCAAAAGCCTGTCCATATCTGCCGTAGTGTCAGAATCAAACATCGTGGAGCTACTTCTTTTTAAATCCATCTGTTTGAACTCCTGCAATTTGAGCCCTAACTGTCCATAACGGGCTTGGTCTCGGCTTTGTGTTCACAGGGAGTGACAGAGATGACAGGTTTTCTGTCCAGTGGGTTGTGGTCAGCCTCTTGCTGTGTGCTGCAGCAATGCTCTGTAAAGAACAAGGCATCACAGTCTTGGTAAAACAAATATATATTTATTTATTTCAAAGCCATTTTGTTGTGAGTTGATGATTTTATCAGATCCAGTAAGAACAATGTTAAAAGAAAATCCTTCCAAATTACACAATATAAATATGTTAACACCTAATGAAAACATACCAATTGATGTCTTCTTGTTCTTCTTGCCCACGTGAGCAGTGTCATGTTTTTCACATGTATGATAGGAGCTAAAGATCCTTTATTTTTGCTGACCTATATACATTTTAAATGCCATTTCTGCTTCCTCCTTCATGTATTTTCCTTCAGGGCGTAAATGCAGCCTTTGATGTCCTTCTGATCTGTAATGTTAATGTGTATGAACTCAGCCAGAGGCTACTCCTCAGGAAGAACCCGCTCAATGTGAGTTATAGTTTATATACCCCCCCCTCTCCTTTATGTCATAAATTATGCACTCCCTTGTATGATTAATGTCACATCACATACATTTTCTATGTAAAGCAATATGATTTTGACTGAATTGTAGTCCTGAAATGGCACTTGCAAGTAACTACCAAGCGTGGATATTTATCTGTCAATGACATGTGGTTATATTTTCTGACAGGTAAGTGAGATATTGCGAACGGGGCTGCTTACACGATTAGCTCTCATGGGTCTTGGAGGACTCTCAATGCTCTATGCACGCTGGAGGATCATGGGAACAGGACCACCAGCATTCACTGAAGTAGACAACCCTGCCTCATTTGCAGAAAATATATTTCTAAGAGTAAGTACGATTTTTTTTTTTTCTTTTCTTGAGGTTATTTAATGTGAAAAGCATTATTTAATCACACACTAAAACTAGACACAATTTGATCCTCATTAGAAATATGTTAGGATCTGTGTTACAATGAATTGTCCAATGAAAGATAGTGATTGACTTCTCTCATGTTTCCTTACTCTCTCCCATTCTCCACCCCTCCTGTTCCTCTTTGATTGGCAGATAGTGAACTATAATTACTACTACTCTCTGAATGCCTGGCTGCTGCTGTGTCCCTGGTGGCTGTGTTTTGATTGGTCCATGGGCTGTGTGCCTCTCATTAAGTCAGCCACTGATTGGAGGATGGTATGGCTGCTGCTGCTCTGGTGCATCCTGATAGGCTTGATAAGCCAAGCCTTATGCTCGCAGGACAGCCAGAGGAGGAGGTAAGCGAGAACAGCCATCTCACCCTCGCTGTAGACGAGAGGAAGTACATGTTGGCCTCTCCAGACTCACACTTGATTATGAAAATTGTACCATGTCTACTGCAGTGTGACCAGAGCTCCACGTCTCGATTGAGTTTTTAAAATTCTCTGTTGGTTTAGAGACATACCGACGAGTGTGCTTCACAGGGAAAATGTCTATGTTCAGGATGATTTTTGGAGTAGTTTATTGAACCTGAATATTTTATCCTAACGTAATTCTTCACCATACACTGCCCTTTTTGAGTGTCATTGAATGTATATAATCCTCACTCTATGTCCTCTTCCTCAGGACACTGACCTTGGGCCTGGTGCTGCTGGTGGTCCCTTTTCTGCCGGCTTGTAACATATTTTTCAGGGTGGGCTTCGTTGTAGCTGAGAGAGTTCTCTACCTGTCTTCAGCTGGATACTGCCTGCTGCTGGCCTACTCTGTGGGACACTGCTGCTGCCGCTGGTCCAAATACAGGGTAGAGCTAAATCATACTAAGATAATACACTAAAAACAGGATTCCACACCCTGTTAAACCTCAGAGTGCAATATGACAACTCAGTGACCCTTCTATTTATACAATCTAACAGGTCCTGGTTTCAAACTTCTTATTTCACCACCTGTTTAGGCAGCTTTAATGATTCAGTGATGCAGAGCAGGTACAGGCATGAGGAATGACTAATGACTCACCTATAAAGGGAAGATAACAGCAGGTGGTGTCAATGTGTCCCATAGATATATTTGCAGGCTGTTAACTCTGAGTCACAGATAATTGATTTTTATGCATCAAGGCTATATTGATTAACACTATATGTTAATACATTTTGTCGTTTTCTGTTTGTTTGTTTCCTTTCCCATTCAAGAAGCCACTGTGTGTGTCGGTGCTCGGGCTGTTGTGTGTGTATGTAGCTCGCTGTGCTCTCCGCAGTCACCAGTGGCGGTCAGAACAAAGCCTCTTCACCAATGCCCTGTCTGTCTGTCCACTCAATGCCAAGGTAAATCTTTTCTTTTTTACAGCATTGGTCAATACATTGAGGCCACACAATTCAAGTCTCTCTCTCATGCCTTATCACTTATTCCTCAGGTGCATTATAATGTTGGTAAGAACCTGGCCGACAGAGGAAACTCTACTGCCGCTATCGCATATTACAGAGAGGCAGTCAGGTATGTCTCCTCACAAGAAATCAGCTAGATGTATAATGGCAGTACATGTGAGTGAGGGCTGAGTCATGTTAAATGCATTTTTCTGTGTCTTTCAGCCTTCACCCTACCTATGTCCATGCTATGAACAACCTGGGGAACATCCTGAAGGAGAGGAATGAACTGATCGAGGCGGAGCATCTGCTGTCCAAAGCTGTTTCTATTCAGTATGTCGCCCAAAATAATCTATTTATTACAGACCAGACCATCATTTAATTGATTCCAACATGGAATATCTTTTAAAAAAAGCTCCCTTCTTATAGCGTTGTATTTTTCTTATTCCATGCAGGCCTGACTTTGCAGCAGCTTGGATGAATCTGGGTATAGTTCAGAACAGCCTGCAGAGGTTCGAGGCAGCAGAGAAGAGCTATTGGAATGCCATCCGCTTCCGCAAAAAATACCCCGACTGCTACTATAATCTAGGACGCTTGGTGAGACTCCAGGGTTTAATCATGATTAGGCAGTGCTGCTTTTAAAAAAAACTGTCTCTCGGTTTACAAACGGAAATTAGATTCATAGTCAGTTTAATGGTGCTCCTCTACAACCAGGACTCTAACATGTACATACAATTACACATATACATCTGTTTGGGGACCGATACATCAATAAAGGAGAATTTTATAACAATATTTCTCTCTTGTCTTGACAGTATGCTGACCTGAACAGAAATGTGGATGCCCTGAACGCATGGAGGAACGCAACCGTGCTCAAACCAGACCACAGCCTGGCATGGAACAACATGGTCATACTGCTGGACAACACTGGTACTGACAACATGTGCACACACACATACGTGCTGTATATACAGTACAAAAATGTGTAGTGATTTAATATAACCTTCACACATGAAGATTGGAACCTGCTATCACTATTCGAGAGTCTTTTTAAACCCAGATTGACACTTTTTTCATGCTACTAAAGAATGCTTTACATCAAACATATTATAATTAAGTAATAATAAATATAAAATGACAAAATAATAAGCTTCCATTTGTGAATTGGTTTTCATGTATCAGTCTCTTTACTTTGAAAGATCTCTCTGCTCTGGGTGCAGCTTGTTTCAGCATTAACAGCCAAAAATCACAGCGTTGTTATTTTGGAAAGGCAGGAAATCTAAATGGCCAACAAGATTAGACCGGAAGAGCAGGAATCAGCAATGCTTGAAATTTATGTATTAAAGCTTTGTGTTGTGAGTTTTGAAGGCACTCTTCCCTGCCGTGTGGAGAATGCTCTGATTTCCAAACGCTCGAGCCGTTTTGTCAGAAGCAGCTCCCGCGGGGGCGGAGTCTCCCAGGAGGGCACTGGAACTGTCCAATCAGGGTCCAGTATGTTCCTGATCAAACGTGGGCAAGCACAGCCAGAACAGCGCCCCCTCAGAGTCCCCCCTCCGCATTTGTTCCCCAAATCTGACATAAATAATTCTACCCCTCTCCCCTGTTCCCCACCAAACAAACAAAAAAGAGAGAAAAGAAGAACAATAGGTGTCATTTTCAAAAAGCATGGAATTGGGAATATTCTTTTCTCTTTGTTGTTCACTACCGCTCTTTTGTTTTGATCATTACACAAACAAAAGGAGGAATCAGTGTAGATTCAGGCGCTCTGACACAGTCACACATGTACTCACATGTTGGCACGCTGTGTCTGAAGGGCACAGGCCATGACTCAGGACGTGACTGCCATTGTCTTTCTGTCTGTCTCTCTTTCTGTCTGTCTCTCTCTCTCTGCCTTTCAATTTCTGGCCAGACATCAGACGGGTCTGTGACAGAGATCAATAACCCAGTGGGCCTTGTGTTCAACCTTAATTAGGAGACTAAACCGCTCTTCCATGTGTGGAGGGGAAAAACTCTGCTCTAGACCCTGCTGACAAATAAAATCAAATTCTCGTCTCAGCAGCTCTTATTATAGTATTATAGTTAAATGTGTATGAATGTTAACACAGCAGTTTAGTTTGCCATGATATGTAACTCACACTCATTGTAAGTGTTTGTACATCCAAGCTGTATTTGTAGTGTGTGTGTGTGTATGCCCAACAATTGTGTATTGACATATTTTGGTCCTTGTCTGCTCTGTCTTTAAGGTAACCTGGGTCAGGCTGAGCTGATTGGCCGAGAGGCTTTGAAGCTCCTCCCCAACGACCACACTATCATGTTTTCATTGGCCAACGTCCTGGGGAAATCACAGAAATATAAGGTCAGTCAGTGTCTTATAAACATTTCAACACAGAATATCTATATATTGATATTGATGATCTTATTACTAACAGGATCCAACACGTCTTCCAAAAGTCAGTAATAGTTATAGTAAAGATAATAAAACAGTGTTTTTTCTTTGTCCTCAGGAGTCAGAGGGCTTCTTCCTCCATGCACTCCGGATCAACCCAAATTCTGCTAGTTGCCATGGCAATTTAGGTAAGCTACTTGGTTGTACCACACATTTTACAGAGTTCATGACAGATTCTGGGTGATCAAAAGATAAAATAACAACTGTGTTTGATAGCAGAAGCATTATTTTGCAGCCTGCCTCACCCTTTCATGAATGGCTGTAAACCATCACAATGGTTGCTCCTTCTCAGCTTTAATCTATTTTTCTCAGCTGTTCTGTATCATCGCTGGGGAAAGCTAGAGCTGGCAAAGAAACACTATGAACTGTCTCTAAAGTTGGACCCTGAGGCTCCTGGGACCAGAGACAACTACAAAATGCTGCGACGCAAACTGGACCAGCTCAAACAGCCCGCACCCTGAGGGAGCCTATTGGGACCCCTGCCTGCCGTAAAACACCTTTTTACATTGTTCCACTTATTATTATTTTTGACCATTTAGAAATAAAGAACTTGATCTGCGTATCAGGCTCTTGTTTGGTTTTATTGGGGGGGGGGGGAATCAATATGTGTCACAGTTGCAGGTTGTCCTGTTGTAGCTTTTACTATTATTCGAGACTTTTGTAAGTATGAGGCTGTTTGTGTACCAAGTATCTAATTTAATGTCATGGGTATGAAGTGTGTACAGGCAGGTGTGCTGGATGCCTGAGCTGGTTACATGGTCGTCTGCGCTGTGCTGTTATGTTGCTTCGTTTGAAGGCCATGTGGAACTGATCCATGGTGAACCCCATCCTCTTTTCATCTCTTACCCTGTGTTGTGTCAGCTGGACGGAGCACCATGCATCCAGAGAATCTGTTGTCAATTGTATTTGATTTGGCCTTTTTTCAGGTTCAGTTCCAAATGTCCCTATACTCAAAAGCAGCCATAGCTTGGACCAAGAGTCTGCGCACAGACACAATGTAGTCTTTATTTAAGCAGTAAAAACACAGCTGAGTGTCGCTGAGAGGCTTCAGCTGGTTACTGCTGACTGGTGCGCTAATGTCGTTAGCATGTTTGTTTTTGAATGCCCGTCTCTTTGTTCCTGAGTGGGATGGCACTCCGAGGTTCCGAACCCCCTTTACCCTCTCCTGCTCCTAAAAGCCTCTGTAGTTAATAGGAGAAAGGTGTTTGTGCCGGGAAGTTTTTCTGAAGTGTCCGCAAGGAGACGAGGGGTCAGCTGAGACAGGAAGCCCATGGCCGGTGCTGTATGAAAACAGCTCTATAGCATAGAGCCTTCAAAGGGAGACGGGGATGATCTCCCCGGGGACCATGCACGCACGCACACACAGGCCTGCTCTTCTTGAAGAATGCGGCTGAAGGAAAAGGCGACCCCAGTGTGAAACATCAGTCAACAAGTGTGCACCCGGGGTCAAAGTTCAACGCACTTCTATTTTTTCACCTGCTTCCTACAGCTTGAAGAGAACTTTTGAAGCTCTGGCGGGCTGGTATGGCTTTGCTTTCGGGGCCGCTCAGTTTGTTTACACATACAGTACAATACACCAGTTGATGCTTTGATGCTTGGAAGATGTTACTGATACGCACGTCGGGGGGGGGCCAGAGAACACACGACCATCGATGTTCTCTCTATGTGAACTCCTAAATATGCAACTAATGTCACATGATGAAATGTCCTTGATGCTCAACTCTGTTTTTATTTTTGCTGCTTTGATGTAAAGAATCCATGGTAGATATAACTGGAACCACAACAAATAGCCTTTAAGGCGCACACTCAAGTTATTGTTTAGTTAAAGATGGAGTCTGTTTCAACAAGGCTCATGTTAAGGTCAGTACGGTGAAAGGGCTTCATGCTATGGAGCGAATGCAGACAGAATAAGATCAAAAAGCTTTGGATAGGGACATTCCAGACTGAAAGATTTCCCCTCACATTATTTTTGGTCATGCAGTGTAACATGCAGTGCTGCTGATGTACGGTTGGCTGGAAAACCATCAGAAATTCGCTTTATGTACTTAAGTATCCATTCTTTACTTTCTGTGTGATCCTTTCATTGGGTGCCTGCAGCTGACTGTCTAGCTGCACAGCTGTGCTGGCACACCAGTGGGGGTGCCCACTTTTATCATAATCATTCTTTGAATACCTTTCATTATCATAAAATATGTGAGTATTAAAGGGATGGATTCCCCGGCCCCGCCAACATCTTCATTACCCATTCTGACTGACAAAAACCTGCTGTCCTAGGGAGTGACATTAATAAAAGATGGGATACTAAAGCCTTGTGAAGTCCTCTCCTTGTTCTCTGGGTTTTCACTGTACACCTTTTACCTGCTTGAATGCTCCATCACAATGATTCAACAAAATCAACTCTCAGGAGGGGTTCTCTATTGTGTTCTACTAATCACACTGATGAGTTTTGATCATAGTAATCAATGGATTTGGGAGAATAAAGTCTGATTGTTCACAGCCAAAATCTGAAATGCTAAAATCAACCAACGTGTTAGGAAAAAAAACACATTGTTGTCCCTTTGTTGTAGCAGCATATTCAACAGAAGAACAAAAGGCAGGGGAGCACTAATTTGAACCCACGGAGGGTGTTTTGGAACAGTAGGTGTGCTATTTTGCATCTGATAAGCACCAACAGCCACCCCCTAACAAAATAAAAAAAACACCAAGCTTATCCAAACTGCTACAAATAAAATAAAATAAAATAAAATATAGCCGCAGAGGGAATACATTTAATGGGCACCCTAAAATTGAGTGACAGTGCCTTTTGAATGTATAATCATAGCTGTATTGTTGGGCTTTTTGGGAGGTTAATATACCGCAGTGTTGTTTCATTGTATATGTTGAAAGACTGGATGCAGGCGGGGCATATTGTGCGGGGCACACACACACACATCGACACACACTCACAAGCATACCGTACATCTGTAGGAGTGGCTTTGACAGAGTTCTCATCAATGTGACAGGATGTGATCAAGAGCAGTCCTGTGATGTGTCCGCTGGGCCTCTGCACGGCCCTCACTGTCCCTCCCTCCCACCCCCCCCCCCCCCCAAGCCAAACCACAACAATCCTAATGGGCTCTGATGGGCACCTCCATCTTGCCTGTCTAATTGATGTAAATACTGTGCATTTGAACCCGCAGTCCTTCCCACCATCCCGGCCGGCCCTTCCCTCTGTTTCTTATAACAGTAGGGATCAGAGGTTAGGCTGACTGAGTGATCATTAGAATGGCAAGCCTTATTATAGGAGCAGCTTGTCTGAAACCCCATCCTCATCCCGGACAGGGAGCCTCCCTGTCCGCTTCATCTAGATCATATTACATGACACGACCTCAGAACAGATACTACCAGTGCACTACAACACTGTAGGCCACTAGGGCACGGTGGCATTTTCGGAGGGGTCCCCTTGCCTGTCACAGCACTTCCATGACACCACTCTGTCCGTCTGGCTGGGATGCACTCTGTCATTTTAAGGAGGGCTACTGTCAGCGGGTATTGAGACCGTTGTGTCTACATGCCCTGGCATTTTCAGTGGCGTTCCTGTAACGGAGCATCCAGCCACCCTCTTGAGAGTCTGTGATGTCGCGGCCAATGATTAATAGTTAGAGATGGGCTATAAAACGTCCAGTGTGGCCAGATGCTAGTCAGGGCTTTGCTGAACTGATATAATGGACATAGTCTGCCAATTTGGCTCCCTTACAAAGCCTGGAAGTTCCCCAAGATTGATTCTGTTTCTATGTAGCAGTGCCCTGGGGGCTGAATGTTGAGGATGCACTCTTGTGAAAAATGCTGTGGTGTATTATCTTCAGCTGAGAAAAGCACTAAATGCTCATGGATATAACAAAAAAGCTAATACACTCACTGACATTTGCATGCAACAGTGAAAGTTAAAGCGGATTTATGACCATTTTATTATTTCTTAGGAAAAGCTCTCTGGTTGTGGATAAAAAGGGTGGGGGTGCTGGGATAATTTGCAGCAGGAGCCTTCTGAGGCTGTTTTGCAAAACAAACCGAAGCAGCTAGACCCTTATTGAAAAATATAGTGCAGTGAGACGGACATTTATTAACTGGCACCAGTTAATGTGTGCATTATTCATTTCTGGTGAGCATGAAAAATGATCTAAAGAGGTTTGAAATTGCAGACGCGCAGGCTGACTGCACAGTGGCTGGGCTTGCTGGTTCGTTTCATCCTCTTGCAGGGGTGTTTGGGCAGAGAGGTGGAGGGACAGAGGGTTGGAGGATGGAGGGGAGGAGTGCGAGCCCCTTTCTGGACAGTAGGGCTTTCCAGTAACAGCTGTGCTTCTCTCACGAGGGGGCGGCAGGAGCACTGGGAGAGAGGCTGCTTGGGACAGATGGACCAGCCCAGCACTGCCTCCCCTCTCACCTCCCACCATCGCTTCTCTTATTAAAAATATATTTCCTCCATTAATGTGTTTAGCTGTGTGAATGTACATGTGCTCTCATGTGAGTGGTAGAGTAACTGCAGTAGGAACTGTATTTAAAGTTGTGTGAGTTGTGAGTTTAGGGCATGATTAGTTTGTTTAATTTTTTCTTTCCATTTATTCCTTGCTTATTATTCCCTCTCTTGTGTTATAGCTTTTGAACCCTCTATCATCTTGCCATTTTCTCTGACTTTTCTTCTCTCTCTCCACCACTGCTACAGTAGGAGGCAGTGCCAGTGGCATATGGCTTTCCACTGTGCTAAACATTCATACAAAAGACAGGCCCATCAGTCATGGCTGTGGCCGGATGAGGGGAGAGAGCAGGCCTCTGATGAATGGTGTTTAGGACTTACCTGCTGTTAAAACATTACCTCCCAAACACCAGCTCCCAGAGGCACACACAACACAGAAGTGTATAATATCCTGAAATACGGCCCTTGTGTGCACACATCATGTACGCCAGGTTATAGCAAATAATAAATATGCTTAGTAAACCCCTTGCACAGAACCCCAGGTCAGGCCTTCATAGACCAATTAATGCAGAGCATCTGCTGTATAGAGGGAGCATGCTAGAGAAGTTCCGAGCCATTTTAGGCAGTTTAATAAGGAGGAGAGCCGCTTCCTGCTTGCTCCAATAGCTCTCATTGCTAGAGTAAGCATGGAATGGGTCTCCTCGATTAGACCAAATTAATCCATTCTTCAGGGATTCTTTTTCTGGTTCTATGGTGAAACCGGCGCGCCTTTGTTCTTCCTAGAGCCCCGGTGTTTTTTCTGCCAAATTTAACAGAAGGCTCCGAGGGTAACAGGGGTCCAACCCAGTATCACCTTCTGGAGCAGAGCAACTAGCAGAGAAAGACAATCAGCCTGGACCCCGCTGTCTCCAGCACAAAGTGAAAAGACTCTAATTGGGCATTTTTACGGTGCATTTTCCTGCAGGATTGCTGGATCATGAAAAAGCAATTAAACCTCAGAGCTGCAATTCATTCATTCTCAATTTTATCCTTTCATTGGAAATAGACAAATTTGAAATCACTTATGTGAGTCAAGACTTATGCTTTTGGAGTTGGTTTTTTTATGTGGCAGAGAGCAGCTGTCGGCTTAAAGGATCCTATCACATATTGATACAAATGGAAATATAGTCATTACAAGAGTTAAGGTTCTTTAGTAAATTACCGCAAATGTACCCCTTTAAATTCAAAGGAGATCTTCAAATATGCAATCATTTAAACCGAAACCCCTACCTTTAAAAACTGTTATACACATATTGATAGGAGTGTAGTTCTCAATGTTACATCTAGAGGCAGTGCTCCCCACAAAAAGCATGACCTCAGGACTGCAGAGAAAAAAAGTCAGAAAACATTCAAGAGGTTTCATTTTTATAGAATATTGTTTTTATTCAGCCATAAAAGGAGATATACATGTACTAGTCAAAAGGCAAATAAGTGGTGAATAAAACATCAAAACATTTCTTATGGATTTTTAAAAAAGTAAATCCTTAAATACTATTTTGATTACGTTTTTTTTTTTAAGACCTGGTTTAAATGTGTGATCCATGTGCCTATTGTTGTCACACATGTCTCAGTTAAAACAAAAGGAAAACGTTATATTACATTTAGCTAGATTACATACTTATATAGACGGATATAATATTGAGAGTGATTTGACTGAAACATTATATCTTACATTTTGTTTTAATTTAATCAACCTTCAGAAATTGTTCCCTAAACACCTTGTTTGAGTAAATATTGTATTTAAACAAAATAACCAGGGAAGCCTTAACTAAAGTGACTATGTTGTAATAATTGTTAAAACAAATTAAGTGCTTCTGCATCAGGCAATACAACAAAATAAACCTCTCAACTAGGAGCGTTATTATTATGGAATCTGTAAAAAAAAAAAACACATCTGAAAAAGAAAGATTCCAAATGAACAAGTATCTCAAATATGATGCTCATTTTAGAGAACATGTACTGTCAGTATCATTTCAAAACATGTTGAGTGATAAGACACAACCAAATACACATTAAAATCTCTGCAAAAAATTACAGCCAAATTAATAACTGTTTTAATAAACATACCTTTTGTAATTTATAGATATAAATGTATAGATATCAATTACAAAAGGTATATTTATTAAAACATCAAACACGTTTGACATAGTGTCACATTGATTTAATTTAATTTTAAATGTTTAATATTCCATTAAGTGAATAATTCAACTCAATAAATTACCTTTAATAGTTGTCTTACAAATGAATTATTAAGGCCAAGTGTTTGACTTGTTTTTTTCTCACTATATTATATATATATTCACAGCAATAACTCATAATTAGAGACAGACAAGACGACCACCAGTCATTGGACTCATTTTCAATCCAGGCATTGTTAACCAAGCGCTTAACTATCTCATAACACCAAATGTTCCAGTCGGCGGACTCCATACATTGTAAATTAGGTCTGTTAATATACTCTCTGCTCCAAGACACACAGAGGGACACTGGTGGGTGTAACCACACACACACACACACACACACACACACACACACACACACACACACACACACACACACACACACACACACACACACACACACACACACACACACACACACACACACACACACACACACACACACACACACACACACACACACACACACACACACAGACAATGCAGTAGGGTGGGCTTTGCAGGCTCTTTTTTTCTTTTTCCCGACCACGCACAAAGTGATCAACTATCACACCCCAGACGGTGAGGTGTCAACATGAAATACCTTCATTTGCATCAGCTTTTAAAACTGCCGGACTTCTTGTTATGCGAGCGACCC